AGGTTAAAAAATCACGAGTAAATTGTGTGTCCCAAGTTTACCCAATAGATACCAGACACTACTCCGTCATTGTAATGTTCCACACTGGGTCTAACCACTGCTACTATAAAGATTTATCAATGTTTATAACAACACGATTGCCTTAAAAATTGCCGGAGACCGACAAAAGTGGAGGGAGCTTTCTGTAGCGGCTCCATGTGTCGTGGGCACATAAGGGATGATGATGATGAACAACTAAAGTGCAAGATCTTCTTGAAACTCTCGACTCAACAAAACATTGATATTACGTACACAATTTATTTTTACTAAAATTGGATTTTTAAAAATTGAGAAACTCTTAGATAGCGATTAGCAGTTAGTATGTATCTTAACGTCCTCAGTGTTTAACACAGCAATATGCCGTGTCGAGATCCACTCCACTCCTTACCCTTACCCTCCCCCACCCTTAACCCGACTCAAACAGTGCAAACACAGCCATTTGGCTTAGAGGACACTTAAATGTTAGACCGTCGCTCGTCTCCCCTTTTTTTTCAAAGTTGCTGGGGGAATGTCAGACACCCATTCCAAGCCGGGTCGCCAAACATACGGGCCGCTCTGAACGTATCTTAAGATAACGAATTGACATAACCTCTGATGCATTGTGTGATCTCTTAAACAGGGGCGCTCGCAACTAATGAAAAAAATGTTCGCTGGACTAGGGAGGTTTTTTTTTTCTCTCTGCTTAAATGTGTGTTTATCGAGTCGCTCAATTTAAGTGGAGAATGGGTGAAGTTAGCCAGTACGTTCCACTTGTTTGGGTTAGGATAAAATAGTGAAGTGATTTCATTACTACGTCATTATATATATATATAAATATATATATATATATATATATATATATATATATATATATATATATATATATATATATATATATATATATATATATATATATATAGTATACATGTGCTTAGTTAGATTTGAAGCACTTTTCATCACTTTTAGCATTTTATTAGTCCAGAGCATAAAATGAATGTTAGGACATTTAAACGACGTTATGATTTACCTTCCCCCCCTCGCTATGGTCACTCGACACATAGGATCGGTCACCGAGAGCCAGACCCCATCATTCTAAAATTTATATCAAACATCAGTCTATCACCCCCAACCCCCTCAGAATTGCAGTTTTTTATTTATTTCTTTACTACATTATCAAATGAACCTGGTCAACATTGAGTTTATGGATCAGTTTTTAATTCAATATACAAAACTATTTTTTTAAAATGAGAATTAACGGCTAGAATTCAGTTTCAAACGTGATTTTTTTTTCTTTTTGTAGAAAGCAAAATTGGCATCACGCTTTGTGTCGCTCCACTCTATCTCCTAACAGATCGTCAAAAAACTCTGAACAAGCCTCCCCTTCCCCCCCCCCCCCCCCCCCCCCCCACACACACCACTCTCTCGTTTATGGATAATCCCTGATTGTCATTGCATGTCTACGCAGGATTAGGATATTTACACGGACCGAAACAACACGTGACCGCCGGCACCAATCAACAACCCTCTCATCTCCGGCGCGTCACCTTTGCTCCCTGACCCCCTTGACCTCTGACCTCCATGCGCCGATCAATCACGGAGCAGTCGACCCCGAGCGCGTCGTGTTTAACATGTATTCATGTCCGGATTAAGGGATTGACACCTTGTCCTTTAATAGGAGACCAGGGTCAACACTGACCTTTCTTCAGACAAATGGGGTAGGGAAGGTTTGGAACAAGGAAAATGTCTCTGAAATATAGCACTTATATTTTTTTAAAGGGTACAGGTGGGGTAAGGTGTTTTAGTACGAGCAAGGTGAGAGATTTGAAGTTAAAAGCCTAAAAAACGAACATGTTAAGCCCTCATGTAATAGCTCTAATTACCTTCTGAAACTATTTTTTTTTTTGGTACTTACAAAACAAGGAATTACTTAGCAGAACCGTGAACTCTTTAATCAAGAATCAGCAAAGCATTTTGCTTCTCGTTAAGCAAGCCTTCTTAATCCATACGTTTATGTCGATTACTCGTGACTCCAAACTATTTGTTAGTAGTTACTCCATGGGACTTGACACTAGATAGGGCAGATGAAGTAGAGTTTATCTGTTTCTTTGACCGCGGCATGTGAAGGGAAACTATGCTTAGGGATAGTGTGCTCAGATCTATGCCTTGTCGCCTTTATTTTTACTTCGAGTCAGGTTCCATCGGAGCTGGGTGGACTCAAGAAAGTCCAAACAGTCTCGAGATCGAGATTGGAATTCTAGTTCAGTAGAGCCTTCTACCGCCCGGCCATGTCCTCTCATTGTGTTATTAAAATCCTAATTTATAACGGTTTTTTTTTATTATTAATATTGTACACCAACTTATTTGTACCAAAACAGTTCATAAGTCATAATGTTATCATGTGACTCAATAATTATATTAAGAGATTATAATATTCTCATTTCTTTAAATAGTTTAAAACCAAACTATGGTTCCATAGTCTAATAGACCATTGAATGATTGCCTTTGGAAATCCAAGCACAACGCCTGGGCTGTTAGATGAAAAGAGCCGTATGTTGCCAATACATCAGACATCCTCTCTCCACCTTGCTGATGGACTAAAAGAACAAGTCCTTTCCTACACAACTTGGAATCAGTGTCGCAGAAGCTGGAGAAAGTTGGTAATCTATCGCCCAATTTTTCTTCCCGGGGGGGGGGGGGGGGGGGCGGACACTGTTATAAGTATATATTTTCTATATAAATTCCATTTCGTTCGGGTGGGGGAGGGGCGGTAGACTTTCTTCAAGAGATGCCTGAAAGAAACTCTGCTATCGCCTAAGGGGCGCCACTCCAGTTTGATTTCGGAGTTTTCTCCCCTAGATAAGTTGCTGTCCCCAGCTGATTGGCTTCATCTGCTCGTGGGTTCTTCTTCGTTCTTAATTTTAGTGTGGAAGAGATTCCCTCCAACACAATTAAGTATACGTGTCAACTGGTTTTCGCAATTGAGGCCATTGACTCCGATTTCAGCCTGCTTTTCTTTTTTGGATTTGCTTCCATACACTTTATCCATCCAAGAATAAACTACAAGGCAGCAGTTGTTTGATTTTGTTGTTTCTCCTAGAAGAGTGGTTATCCCCAGCTAACGAGCTCGTGGGTTCGAATTAGAAGAGTGGCTATCCCCAGCTAACGAGCTCGTGGGTTCGAATTAGAAGAGTGGTTATCCCCAGCTAACGAGCTCGTGGGTTCGAATTAGAAGAGTGGTTATCCCCAGCTAACGAGCTCGTGGGTTCGAATTAGAAGAGTGGTTATCCCCAGCTAACGAGCTCGTGGGTTCGAATTAGAAGAGTGGTTATCCCCAGCTAACGAGCTCGTGGGTTCGAATTAGAAGAGTGGTTATCCCCAGCTAACGAGCTCGTGGGTTCGAATTAGAAGAGTGGTTATCCCCAGCTAACGAGCTCGTGGGTTCGAATTAGAAGAGTGGCTATCCCCAGCTAACGAGCTCGTGGGTTTGAATTAGAAGAGTGGCTATCTCCAGCTAACGAGCTCGTGGGTTCGAATTAGAAGAGTGGCTATCCCCAGCTAACGAGCTCGTGGGTTCGAATTAGAAGAGTGGCTATCCCCAGCTAACGAGCTCGTGGGTTCGAATTAGAAGAGTGGCTATCCCCAGCTAACGAGCTCGTGGGTTCGGATTAGAAGAGTGGCTATCCCCAGCTAACGAGCTCGTGGGTTCGAATTAGAAGAGTGGCTGTCCCCAGCTAACGAGCTCGTGGGTTCGAATTAGAAGAGTGGCTATCCCCAGCTAACGAGCTCGTGGGTTCGAATTAGAAGAGTGGCTATCCCCAGCTAACGAGCTCGTGGGTTCGAATTAGAAGAGTGGTTATCCCCAGCTAACGAGCTCGTGGGTTCGAATTAGAAGAGTGGCTATCCCCAGCTAACGAGCTCGTGGGTTCGAATTAGAAGAGTGGCTATCCCCAGCTAACGAGCTCGTGGGTTCGAATTCGGGACTTTCGGGTTAGCAAAGTAAACCACACACAATGTGCTGTAAACACAACTTAAGTGTTCAATTTGTGTTTGGTGTTTATCTTCGTTGGTTGGGCTGTACAATGTCAAGGCCGAGTTCTGTTCAAGCTTAAAAGTAAACACCCTGGTAGCAATATTTCACCCTACACTAGTTGACTGGGACGGCTTCGTCGTGTGGCTCCAGACATACTTTGGTGACCAATCGCCTTTTAAGTCAAGTACCGTATTGAAAACTTCTATAACATCTCATTCCCGCGACTTGAATTATCTTTTCCAATGCAACTGTAAGCGTCCAAGATTCGCAAGCATTTAGAATTGTAGCAAAAACTGTTCAACATATCCCAGTCAGATGTGTGTGTATAAATTACGTTTGTACCTTACCATAACGTCCTAAGCTATGTAAGTGTCGCTATAGTCTGCGCAATACTGCGAGCTGTTCTGGTTTCGATACTCTGACTTTGATTATGACGCCCAGATGTTTAAAGTTTTTCAAAATATGCAGCCTCTCATTCTCATTGTTGATGTAGATGGGGAACCCTTTTATCGTTATCAAGTAAATGGTCACCACTCCACCACACACCCCCCACCCCCCATCCCCCGTATTGATCTGATAAATACATTTAATACATATTAAATACACCTAGAATTAATTCGATTATTACCCAACAATATAATTCAGTTAAATCTACTAGAACAAATAGAAAAAATGCTTTAGAAGCAAAAGCTTAACTAAAATTTAAAATTGTAAACATTTTATTAATATGTCTCGTATCTGCTGGCGTCGCTGATTCTAAAAATAACAATTCGATAATCGCTGGTCTGCCGCACATACACCACGCTACGCAACACACGCCTGGCCCAGTTTTAAAAATATCCACCAATCGCTGCCTGCACTTTAATCGAACCTACTTTCTATTAATAGAGACTACGGCATGTCTGTTTACAAAACGATTGCACCACAGTTAGCAAGTTACCCGTGATAAGAACTATATAAGGACACCGAGTAATATCAGTTGCACAACAACTCCTTCATCTACAACTAGTAACAACCCTACAAGAACAGAAGTTTCTAGAACAGAGCCGAAAAAAAATGGTTTACAAAGTGTGTAAGGGAGGTGTAAGGTCAGGAAACACTCTTCGTGGTTTAAGCTCCCACCAAGCTAAAAGGTAAATAAATCATTTTTCTTGACTATTTGTTCATATTTACTGAATAACATTTGTAATGTAGTCTATTTTTTACTTGTTTTTTCTCCTTGTGTGTCTCTCTCCATTCCTCCCTTTCTCTCTCTCTTATCTCACTCTTTCTCTGTAGACATCACGAATATATAGCTTAAAATAAGATTTTACTTCCCATAAAAACTGCAGGCTCAAAAAAAAAAAAAAAAAAAAAAAAAAAAAAAAAAAACTTTATTACTGTATTACTGTTTAAAAACTAGTAAGGACAATACATAAAAATATGAACATCGGGAAGAATTATTATTGGAAATAATGGAATAATGGATATAATGTGTATACACACTAACACACACACATATATATATACATATATATATATACACATATACATATATACATACATATATACATACATATATACATATATATATATATATATATATATATATATATATATATATATATATATATATATATATATATATATATATATATATATATATATATATATATATATATACTAGGCATACTGCCTAGCTTCGCTTAGGTTTTTAAAAGGCATTCGAGAATTTGAATACTTAATTATTTAGCGATGGATTGGGTGTGGAGTGCTTTAATAAGTTTAATAAGTTTAATTTAAACAGTAATGCTAACTTTAGAAAAAATGTTTTTGTTAGTCATTTACATGCAGATTCGTAGCGAATTTTTGGAAAGTTACGCAATGTATAACTAAAATGGAATTAGAACTACACAGGTTTCATGAACAGTATATCTCATAGTTTATATTACATTGCCTTTTGAAATTAATTAATTAATTTAATTAACATACTTAACTAAATTAACAACTTAATTTTGTACTAAAACAAATGCTATACTTCGTCATTTTCTGTTTCTGTTTAAAATAGTATACAATTATTTGAAAAATAATAATTTTAAAAACGTTACCTCCCTTGAAAACTGAACGTATGACGTATGTCATTGTTTACTTATATTGTTTGCTTATATAAGAAATTACGTTATATGAACTTATTTAACGACTATAATGGCTGTTTCCGACGGGAATAAAGTTTTTTTGTTACCCTCCATGGTCGGTCTACGACGTCACATAATATTAAGGGGATCGTTCGTCAATTTATTTATATATATATATATATATATATATATCTCATATAAGGAGAATTTCACTCAAGATCATCTTTTAGCCCTCGTCGAGGGCTTTGAGTCTGACCAACAGTTTTTCCATACGGCCTAGTCATCTATAGTAGTGTATGCAAAAACTTAGCATGATGTACAGACATTAAGTAACCTAAAAATTGTGTTAAAATTTCCCTGTTTTTCCCATAAAATACAAAGATTATATAGGGAAATACAACTGGTCAGTTTTGACCGCTTTACGAAGTTTTCCCAGAATTGCCGAGTTTTTTATGAAACCCCTAGGTGTTCTTCTACCACCTCACAAAATATCAAGGGGGGTCGTCGGAGGAAATTTTTTTTCGTAATAGAGCTCATATAAAGAGAATTTCACTCGCGGTCACTTTTTAGCCCTCGTCGAGGGCTTTGAGTGTAACCGACAGTTTTCCCTAAAGGTCAAGCCATTGACCTAGGAGCATGCAAAAAATTAGCCAGATATACTGAGCTTAAGTACCCTAAAGTCTGCGTTGAAATGACCCTCTGTTTTTCCCATAAAATACGAAGATTATATAGGGAAATACAACTGGTCAGTTTTGACCGCTTTCCGAAGTTTTCCCAGATATGCCGAGTTTTTTGTGACACTCCTAGGTGTTCTTCTACCACCTCACAAAATATCAAGGGGGGTCGTCGGAGGAAAAATTTTTTCGTAATAGAGCTCATATAAAGAGAATTTCACTCGCGGTCACTTTTTAGCCCTCTTCGAGGGCTTTGAGTGTAACCGACAGTTTTCCCTAAAGGTCAAGCCATTGACCTAGGAGCATGCAAAAAATTAGCCAGATATACTGAGATTAAGTACCCTAAAGTCTGCGTTGAAATGACCCTCTGTTTTTCCCATAAAATACAAAGATTATATAGGGAAATACAACTGGTCAGTTTTGACCCCTTTACGAAGTTTTCCCAGATATGCCGAGTTTTTTGTGACACCCTAAGGCGTTCTCCTACCACCTCACAAAATATCAAGGGGGGTCGTCGGAGGAAATTTTTTTTCGTAATAGAGCTCATATAAAGAGAATTTCACTCGCGGTCACTTTTTAGCCCTCGTCGAGGGCTTTGAGTGAGACCGACAGGTCTGCCCTACGGTCAAGCCATTTTCCTATAAACATGCCAAAAATTAGCCAGATGTAAAGAGGGTAAGTGCCCTAAAATCCATTTTGAAATGACCCTCCGTTTTTCCCATAAAATACAAAGATTATATAGGGAAATACGACTGGTCAGTTTTGACCCATTTCCCGATTTTTCCCGGACATGGCGAGTTTTTTGTGACACCCCAAGGCGTTCTCCTACCACCTCACAAAATATCAAGGGGGGTCGTCGGAGGAAATTTTTTTTCGTAATAGAGCTCATATAAAGAGAATTTCACTCGCGGTCACTTTTTAGCCCTCGTCGAGGGCTTTGAGTAAGACCGACAGGTCTGCCCTACGGTCAAGCCATTTACCTATAAACATGCCAAAAATTAGCCAGATGTAAACAGGGTAAGTGCCCTAAAATCCGTTTTGAAATGACCCTCTGTTTTTCCCATAAAATACAAAGATTATATAGGGAAATACGACTGGTCAGTTTTGACCCATTTCCCGATTTTTCCCGGACATGGCGAGTTTTTTGTGACACCCCAAGGTGTTCTCCTACCACCTCACAAAATTTCAAGGGGGGTCGTCGGAGGAAATTTTTTTTCGTAATAGAGCTCATATAAAGAGAATTTCACTCGCGGTCACTTTTTAGCCCTCGTCGAGTGCTTTGAGTCAAACCGACAGGTCCGCCCTACGGCCAAGCCATTTACCTATAAGCATGCCAAAACTTAGCCAGATGTAAATAGGGTAAGTGCCCTAAAATCCGTTTTGAAATGACCCTCTGTTTTCCCCATAAAATACAAAGATTATATAGGGAAATACGACTGGTCAGTTTTGACCCATTTCCCGATTTTTCCCGGACATGGCGAGTTTTTTGTGACACCCCAAGGCGTTCTCCTACCACCTCACAAAATTTCAAGGGGGGTCGTCGGAGGAAATTTTTTTTCGTAATAGAGCTCATATAAAGAGAATTTCACTCGCGGTCACTTTTTAGCCCTCGTCGAGTGCTTTGAGTCAAACCGACAGGTCCGCCCTACGGCCAAGCCATTTACCTATAAGCATGCCAAAACTTAGCCAGATGTAAATAGGGTAAGTGCCCTAAAATCCGTTTTGAAATGACCCTCTGTTTTCCCCATAAAATACAAAGATTATATAGGGAAATACGACTGGTCAGTTTTGACCCATTTCCCGATTTTTCCCGGACATGGCGAGTTTTTTGTGACACCCCAAAGCGTTCTCCTACCACCTCACAAAATATCAAGGGGGGTCGTCGGAGGAAATTTTTTTTCGTAATAGAGCTCATATAAAGAGAATTTCACTCGCGGTCACTTTTTAGCCCTCGTCGAGGGCTTTGAGTAAGACCGACAGGTCTGCCCTACGGTCAAGCCATTTACCTATAAACATGTCAAAAATTAGCCAGATGTAAACAGGGTAAGTGCCCTAAAATCCGTTTTGAAATGACCCTCTGTTTTTCCCATAAAATACAAAGATTATATAGGGAAATACGACTGGTCAGTTTTGACCCATTTCCCGATTTTTCCCGGACATGGCGAGTTTTTTGTGACACCCCAAGGTGTTCTCCTACCACCTCACAAAATTTCAAGGGGGGTCGTCGGAGGAAATTTTTTTTCGTAATATAGCCCATATAAGGCGCCGGTCAGTCGAGGTCAGTTTTGACCCCTTCTCCGTAGACTTTTCGGCCAACCGTCACCGGCCTTCGTGTTCTATTGCCCGAAGGCACCATCGTGCCAAATTTGACGCGCCTGCGGCGCCGGGAAGTGCCCTATCGGGCACTTGACCACTTTGCTTTATATATATAGATATACTAGGCATTCTGCCTAGCTTCGCTTAGGTTTTCAAAAACATTTGATAATTTGAATACTAATTATTTGGTGATGGATGAGGCGTGGAGTTCTTAAATCTAAACAGTAATGCTAATTTTAGAGAAGATGGTGTATGTTGTTTAATATCCGCTTTCGAAAATACGCAATTTATAACTAAAATGGAAATAGAACTACAGAGGTTCCGTGAACAGTATATCTCACAATTTATATTACATTGACTTTTATAATTATTTTTTTATTTAATTATGATACGTAGCTTAATTAACAACTTATTTTTTTTTTTAAACAAATGCTATACTTTGTCGTTTTCTGTTTCTGTTTAAAATAGTATACAATTATTTGAAAAATAATTATTTAAAAAGGTTACCTCCCTTGAAAATTAACCGAATGACGTATGTCAGTGTTTACTTTTTAGCGCAATTTCCATTCTGGAGAATTGCGTTTATTAACCCGTCATTTCTGGATGTATGAATGAATGGATGGATGGATGGATGTGTGTCCGCAGCTTTAAGTCGTATCTCCTCCTCAACGAAGCAATATCGATGACTAGTTCCAAAAGCAATTATGTTAAGCAAGTTACGAGGATGAACATAGGCTATAAAAATTCCGGGTTTCTTTCATGGATTTCCCGGAAAAGCCAAAAAACCTCGAACAAATTCAGTTTTTGCTCCATATCTCGGCAACCAGACCACTTAGCGACTTGAAACATTTACCAATCGATTTCTGCCATAATTTAAACCAATATTGCCGAAGAAAGTTTTCAAAAATATCCTTTCGTTCGGTCACAAAAAATTAATTAAGAATTTTTAAACTGAGCGTCTTGTAGGTTTTTAGCGCAAAAGCCGAGGATCGAAAGGATTTTAATGAGCGGAGGTTCGAAAGGATTTTTAAAATTTTTCCTCTTTTTTTTCGACTGATACGGGAGGCTACTCTCCCCTTTTTTTTCGACTGATACGGGAGGCTAGTTTCTATTTTGTTTTGAATTATTAAAACTACTTGTGTTGCATTATTTATTTGCTGAATATATGATTTATCTCGATTTAATTTACTTATTAATTCAAACGTTATTTTTGTACCCTATTAATAAGCTGAGGTTCGAAAGGATTTTACCATAGCGAATGAGCGGAGGTTCGAAAGGATTTTTTTAAAAATCTCGTTAATAAATATTTTTTCTATTTTGTTTTGAATTATTAAAACTACTTGTGTTGCATTATTTATTTGCTCAATATATGATTTATCTCGATTTAATTTACTTATTAAATCAAACGTTATTTTTGTACCCTATTAATAAGCTGAGGTTCGATATAAGGAAATTGCGCTAAAATTGTCACTAGACTTTTTAATTAACTTGTTTTTTAAACAGTTACTATGCTTATATAAGAAAATACGATATATAAACATATTTAACGTCTACAATGGCTTTTTCCGACGGGAATAAAGTTTTTTTGTTACCCTCCAGGGTCGGTCTACGACCTCAAATAATATTAAGGGGATCGATCGTCAATTTATTTATATATATCTCATATAAGGAGAATTTCACTCGCGGTCATCTTTTAGCACTGGTCGAGGGCTTTGAGTCTGACCAACAGTTTTTCCATACGGCCTAGTCATCTATAGAAGTGTATGCAAAACATTAGCATGATGTACAGAGGTTAAGTAACGTAAAAATTGTGTTGAAATTACCCTGTTTTTCCCATAAAATACAAAGATTATATAGGGAAATACGACTGGTCAGTTTTGACCCCTTTACGAAGTTTTCCCAGATATGCCGAGTTTTTTGTGACACCCCAAGGCGTTCTCCTACCACCTCACAAAATATCAAGGGGGGTCGTCGGAGGAAATTTTTTTTCGTAATAGAGCTCATATAAAGAGAATTTCACTCGCGGTCACTTTTTAGCCCTCGTCGAGGGCTTTGAGTAAAACCGACAGTTTTCCCTAAAGGTCAAGCCATTTACCTAAGAGTATGCAAAAAATTAGCCAGATATACTGAGTTTAAGTACCCTAAAGTCTGCGTTGAAATGACCCTATGTTTTTCCCATAAAATACAAAGATTATATAGGGAAATACGACTGGTCAGTTTTGACCCCTTTACGAAGTTTTCCCAGATATGCCAAGTTTTTTGTGACACCCCCAGGCATTCTCCTACCACCTCACAAAATTTCAAGGGGGGTCGTCGGAGGAAATTTTTTTTCGTAATAGAGCTCATATAAAGAGAATTTCACTCGCGGTCACTTTTTAGCCCTCGTCGAGGGCTCTGAGTAAAACCGACAGTTTTCCCTAAAGGTCAAGCCATTTACCTAAGAGCATGAAAAAATGTAGCCAGAAGTAAAGAGGGTAAGTGCCCTAAAATCCGTTTTGAAATGACCCTCTGTTTTTCCCATAAAATACAAAGATTATATAGGGAAATACGACTGGACAGTTTTGACCCATTTCCCGATTTTTCCCGGACATGGCGAGTTTTTTGTGACACCCCAAGTCGTTCTCCTACCACCTCACAAAATTTCAAGGGGGGTCGTCGGAGGAAAAATTTTTTCGTAATAGAGCTCATATAAAGAGAATTTCACTCGCGGTCACTTTTTAGCCCTCGTCGAGGGCTTTGAGTAAAACCGACAGTTTTCCCTAAAGGTCAAGCCATTTACCTAAGAGCATGCAAAAATGTAGCCAGAAGTAAAGAGGGTAAGTGCCCTAAAATCCGTTTTGAAATGACCCTCTGTTTTTCCCATAAAATACAAAGATTATATAGGGAAATACGACTGGTCAGTTTTGACCCATTTCCCGATTTTTCCCGGACATGGCGAGTTTTTTGTGACACCCCAAGGCGTTCTCCTACCACCTCACAAAATTTCAATGGGGGTCGTCGGAGGAAATTTTTTTTCGTAATATAGCCCATATAAGGCGCCGGTCAGTCGAGGTCAGTTTTGACCCCCTCTCCGTCGACTTTTCGGCCAACCGTCACCGGCCTTCGTGTTCTATCGCCCGAAGGCACCATCGTGCCAAATTTGACGCGCCTGCGGCGCCGGGAAGTGCCCTATCGGGCACTTGACCACTTTGCTTTATATATATAGATATATATATATATATATATATATATATATATATATATATAAATATATATATATATATATAAATATATATGTGTGTGTGTGTGTGTATCTATTTGACTATGCCTACATGAGTATACCATTTACACCCTCTCTCTCCTACAGGTATGCCAAACAGGGCTGTTTTGTAGGGACCTCCAGCCTAGGACCAGCTGAGGTGAAGGAGCTGTTCGAATCCAAAACCCACGACAGTCTCATCTCGGACACTCTCGGCTCCACCAACGTGATTCTCTCCATGAACAAAAAACAAAGATGGCGACTTCCGGCCACCATCAGTCACCTGATCAAGATGGGGTGCTTCAACAAAAACGACGCCATGGTGTCGGTCTTGGAGCGTCACAAGTTAAAAAGACGCGCCAACTGCGTGAGTTTCCATTGCAACAAAGGCCGGTTTGGGTCGGTCGTCCCCAAACAGAAAAGGTACTTCAGTTTTAATATGAATCACGTAGCAGACGAGGAGTCTCAGAGGAAGATAAGACGAGCCAAGTACGATTTGTTAAAACTGAGCAAGAAAGAGAAAGAGAAACCGGATAAGAGAAATGACATGCGCAGTTTGAACGTGTTCACGATTGCCGGTTCCAAGAAAGAAAATGCGTCTCAGCCCCTGGAGAGTTCCAAGACAGAGTACCGGCTGGAGGTGTTCTACCCCTGCCCAAAGAGCTGCTCTTTGGCATTTAACCCCAAGTACACCGATGTCAGGATGGAGGTCAACGAAGAGGGCAAGATGGAGATGAGGTCGAATGTCAAGGTCTCGAGAAAAACCCAAAAACACAGGAAGCGGCTTACCGGAGAGGATTTTAGAAAATATGACGATGAAATATTCCAGAATGATGTTGACGACCTATGGGCTGAAGAAGAAGAGGACGATGATAAATATCCTTACACTTCTGCAGAAAGCAACACCCACATTAATGATACTGAATCGACCCGCGACTCCGAAAATTTAAGTGACGTCAATATTCTGTCTTTCTACGACGACGAAGATGTTATTTCCCCTAATGACTCCTCTGATGACTCAGCTCCTTCTGACTCCTCCCAATACCTCCTGACTGCTTTGATCGCCCAAGCTGAAAAGGCCAGGTCCCTATGCTCCGCCCACAGACCACAGCGCAAGAAGAAACAATCAGTGAACCATGACGACTTCACAGAGGACCGATCTCACATCGTCTACACAGACGAGGTCAACTATTTCCCCAAACGAGAACCGGAAGAGGAAGTCAAATACAGGAAAACCAGAAGTGGCAGGCTGGTCGAGATCAGAAAGAAAAAACCAAAACCTGTGCCGGTTGTCGAACCAAAACCTACAAAACCTGCTTACACTCCAGTACACTGCGCCAAGGTGATTATTCCTGCTGAAGAAACCACACTAGAAAAACTGAAAGAAAAATTTGGGCCTTGCGTCGTTTTGTCGGAGTGTGAACCTTTGAGGTTTATTGTAGATATCACAGAGCAAGTAGTGGATACTTTAAGCATTTCTCCCAAAACCTACGTCAAAGGTGACTATTGCTCTTACCTGATCTTTACCTACGAAAGTTTTTACGACGAACAAATGAACATTTTACGACTTCAGCTAAACTCCAACATCTGTAAAGACACAAAGCGGGTCTGTGATTCTATCCCAGCGCAGAGATCTTCACTGGATGAAGTTATAAATTGTGTCGTTGTAACTCTTTTTGAAATGAAAGAAGAAAAATTACTCAACCTGGAAAACACACAGTTTGTATCCAACACGGTTCGAACAGATTTTGAACTGCTGAGCCAGAGAATGAAATATGAAGTTCAGAGTTTACTTGTTTCAGACCAAGTGTGGAAAAATTGTTTTGACCTGTTTCAAGAGAAGACCAATCTTGCTGTGAAAATTGAAAAACTTTCCGCCGAATATGACGTGGACGCATTTTGTGAAATCTGTTACAATGACGTGAATCCAACTCACGAGCATGCACATCCAGGAACACGGCTGGGGAAGTGCGGCCATGTTTTCTGTGACGAGTGCTTGAGGGCTCACTGCCGGGCCAAGATGAGCGGCGGTGCTTTAAACCTGACATGCCCCGGGTATCAGTGTGACGTTCATTTAGACTTCGTCACGCTTATAAGTCTGCTGCATGTTGCAGAAGTCAGCAAACTGCTACAGCGTCAGTTGGAAGGTGATCTCGAAACAAAACCCAACGTCAAATGGTGCCCAAATCCAACTTGCGGCCGAGTCATCCAAGTCAGCTCTGAAAAACCTGTCGACGGTGTCGCCTTTGATGTCTCCTGCGGTTGTGGCATGCGGGTCTGTTTCTCGTGTCTGGGGGCCGCGCATTGGCCTGCGTCTTGCGCGCAAGCTGAAGACTACGCTCAAAGAATCGAAACCCTGAAGCCTCCAAATGAAACCACAGACGAGCCCCCGATTGACACGGCTCCCAAAGAAGTGCCGAAAAAAACCACGCTGTATGAGATTGAAGGAAGGATGTGCCCGAGCTGTTCCCGATTCATGGAGAAAGATGGCGGCTGCTACCACATGACGTGCAAGTGCGGGCACCAGTTCTGTTGGAACTGCATGCGCTCGCTCGCCAGCCACGATAACAGTATCCAATGCATGGGGACTCCGGACATCCTGTACCGCTACAGCCGCAGACTCAAGGTCCGACACGTCGAACTTCCCAAACCTGCCAGGTTCGACACACCCCCTGCTGGTGAAGCTTCAGCAAACCGAAAGAGACGCGGCCAGAAGACGACGATGTATCAGAAGGCCTTGCAGCAGAGGATTGAGTACAGCAACAAGCGTCATGGCAAAGGCATCAAAGAGCTGAGTCACAAGCTGTTAGCGCTCTCCCACAAGGACCTCGGCTTTAAAAGAGAGGTAAATTGATCTTCAATCTTTTTAGTTTGTTTCATTTTAATGAGACACTTTAAAAAAAAAGACAACTATTTGTCCTACTATAGAAATAAAATTGTTATGTTAGTATGTTATGTTAGTTGCTGGGTGGAAAATATGTCAATTTTCAACTGCACACATAATTATTCTTATGACATAAAAAACAGGTCTTTGTATTACTTGAGCTAATTCGAACCTCCAAAAACTCCCAGATATTGCTATGTTAACAGTTAATCTTGGGGTTATGCAATTCTCTTGTGTCTATTTTAAAAATACCTTTTATTTCTTTGGTACCTTAGGAGCAATGTAATATATTTCGTTATTTTTTTTTCTACCAGATACTTGCCCTGAACACACCAGACAAGGACACTGTCCACTACACTGACCAGGACCTGCTGACCCTCTCCGTGTCCGGCCAGGTCACCAAGTTCCTCTACGGCTGCCTTGACCTCAAGCTCGCCCTGCACCACGTGGCCGAGTACACCTTCGTCCTGCTCCAGGGCTCCCCCAGCACCCTCGAGAGGCGCCGCGCCCTCAAGCTGGCCTCCGACATCAGCGGCTTCTGTAGCTTCATCACGTCGGTGCTAGAGACCGGCTCCCATCAGGATCTGAGGACGGCGGTCAGGAGGTTGTCGGACATTCAGAACTGGGCCGGCCGGACACTAGATGTTCTCTTGGCCACGGTTAGAAAGGTTCAGTACGAGTAAATATAGCTGTCGTTATGGGTTTCAGGAAATATACCTGTCATTATGAGTTTCAGTAAATATACCTGTCATTATGGGTTTCAGTAAATATACCTGTCATTATGGCTTTCAGTAAATATACCTGTCATTATGGCTTTCAGTAAACATACCTGTCACAAATGGCTTTCAGTAAATATACCTGTCATTATGGGTTTCAGTAAATATACCTGTCATTATGGGTTTCAGGAAATATACCTGTCATTATGGGTTTCAGTAAATATACCTGTCATAATGGATTTCAGTAAACATACCTGTCACAAATGGCTTTCAGTAAATATACCTGTCACAAATGGCTTTCAGTAAATATACCTGTCTTAATGGATTTTACTTAATTTGCCTGTCATTCTGTCGATGTAATGTGAATGTAATAATGGGTTGTTTTTTTGTTGTTTTTTTAAGTTTCATAAAATTAACATTCATGTATGTAACATATATTGAAGATTATAAGATTATGAATTTTTTTTTAAATTTGTGTTTACATAGAATACGTATTAGCAAATTTGCTACATTCATCTTTACGATATCTGATTGGAATGTTTATGTGGGTTGTTTTTTTTTTCAAAATAAATAATGATAGAAAAGAAGGTAGAAAATAATTGTACTTGATCCTCGAATAACCAATGTAGATTTTGTTATTTTTAAAAATGATATTGCATTAAACATTGCATAAAACATATATTTTATAATACACAAGGCTCAAAATTATATGCAACAATTATACTTACTGTAAAGTATGTAAAAAAAAATGCACAATGTAAAAAATGAAATTATATTTCAAATTCTGACAATGCTATTAGTTTTTTTTTTTTTTTTTTCAATTTTTTTATAACGTGTTCATTATTGTTAAAATATAATTCAAAGTGCAGCCATGTTTTTATTTATAGAAAAACATCCCGACACTGTCGATGAAAATAATACACTATTGGTGTCTGGGTATGTGTTGTAGATACTTTAAAATCAGAGGTAGGCTGGGTCGCAGGGTCATCATGAAAAAAATCCCGGTGGGCCACCAAAATTCCGGTCGGCTGCCAAGAAAACATACCAAGATCGAGATAAGCTTTGAAGAATAATACATCCTGTATTAGTCCTGGTAGTGCTTTTTTAATTTTGTATTTGATTTGTTGGTTAACTAACGCTAACCGTAGTTCAGCTCTTTAAATTATAAACATTAGCTACGTCAGTTACATTGTTCTGACCACACCATCCGCATGTATCCCGAGATAACTGAAACGGATGAAACAGATTAACTCTGCTTCACCTGCCCAATACGACTAGGATGCGAAAGGGAAAAAATGATGATGATGCCCGTTAGTATGGGTTGACTAAACTTTTAGTTTAAACATTTATATTAATATGTCTAATTATTGATACTTATCTATACAATAGTTAACTAAATTAGGCCCACACAAATCTAAGTATAAATATGTATAACCTCAATCGGACTGAGTTGGTTCACGGTATAATCAAACTCTGTGAATAAACGGTTTACGTTTAGACTAGGTGCACCATATAATAGGAACTGATGCATTTTTTTCTTTCAGACATTTTTTTACTCCGGTGGAGGGCACTTCAATATTTTTGGAGGCGAGGTTCGAACTTAAAATTACGTGTGAGCGGACACCGGTTAAAATATACATTTCTATTTAGTTCGAGGGTGGGCAAGGGGGAGGGGGGGGGCGTTATCGTAAGGTGCCAGTAAGAAACTCTGCTAATACAGCAGACATATATCTTTAAAAACTCTACAATAGGATTTGTAAGTCAAGATTTCGCGTATGCCGATATTCCCCATTTTGATCCCCAGAAGTCTGGATATCTTAAACAAAACGTTTTGGAAAAATCAGCGATGCAATCTCCTTAGCTGCGTTTTTCTGTGAAAACGACAAAGCGACAAACCTAAAAAAAAAAATTTGATAAATTTCGCTTTACTTTCCGTTGATCTTCTTCTGATGTTTGATGACTGAGTAGAGAAGAGATTCAGTAAAGATCACTAGATGAGCTCTAGGACACAGTTGTGGAGGATTGTGTGGAATGTGGTAAATGCTAATCTTGTAAAAATGTCTATCCCGTTTGCTGCTGTACTGTATTGAATTGACATACAACTTGCAGGTGTCATCTCATGTCACACTACATGCTGGTGTCATCCCTTGTCACATGATGGTGTCATCTCATGTCACACTACATGCTGGTGTCATCCCTTGTCACATGATGGTGTCATCTCATGTCACACTACATGCTGGTGTCATCCCTTGTCACATGATGGTGTCATCTCATGTCACACTACATGCTGGTGTCATCTCATGTCACACTACATGCTGGTGTCATCCGGTATCACATGATGGTGTCATCCGGTGTCACATGCTGGTGTCATCCGGTGTCACATGATGGTGTCATCCGGTGTCACATGATGGTGTCATCTCGTGCCACACTACATGCTGGTGTCATCAGGTGTCACATGATGGTGTCATCTCATGTCATACTACATGCTGGTGTCATCTCATGTCACACTACATGCTGGTGTCATCCGGTGTCACATGATGGTGTCATCTCATGTCACACTACATGCTGGTGTCATCCGCTGACACATAATGGTTCATCTCATGTCACACTACATGCTGGTGTCATCCGCTGACACATAATGGTTCATCTCATGTCACACTACATGCTGGTGTCATCCGCTGACACATAATGGTTCATCTCATGTCACACTACATGCTGGTGTCATCCTGTGTCACATGATGGTGTCATCTAATGCAATACATGTTGGTGTCATCTAGCGGGTTACCTTTCATGTTTCTGGACCATACAGCGAAACATATTTCAGCCTAAGTTGCATTAACTAAAATAAAATTATATAACCAGTACAGTTACAGTGGAAGCTAGAATGACATGGCCAAGTGGTAGTGCGTTTGACTGCAACTCTAAAAGTTGGGATCTCGTTCGTGACTGCATGACGCCCCTGAGTCCACCCAGTTCTTATGGGTACCTGACTCAGGGAAGGTAAAGGCGACTAGGTATAACGCTGACCACACCATCCCGATGTTAGGGAACATGTGAACTCTACTTCATCAGCCCTATGGATCGTTAGGTTTGAAAAAGGAAACTTTTTTTTACATCATCGCCTTCTGAATACTGATACAGATTTACAATAGTAATACTTCTTTTTCTGACATGTAATTTCATCGATTGAAAACGGTTTACATGTACAATATACAAAATGACTAATTTGAATTTTATTAGCTCATTAAATATTCAATGATCTCTGGATAGGTGGGAGGGGAGTCATCTTAAAAACCGGAACATGAAATAAAAAAGACATAATATGAGAGCATTTTTTAAAACCTTTGAATCATTTTCTTTCTTATACATCTGCGTTCTTAATTTTGTGGTTGGAAGAGTTTTCCTCCAACACAATTAATTATTGCTTTTTTTTATATTAGCTTCCATAGCCTTTGTCCAAACAAGAGCAAACTACAAGGCCTCATCTGCCCGAAGATTCGAACTTGGGACTTTTCGGTTAAGCGACCATAAGCTTTACCGACTCGACCACGCGGACCCCTTAATAACCTGCATTATAAGATTCCAATATTAATTTATGTCTGTATACACGGTTTGTAGTTGACTTACGCACTCGCACCCAGTATTCAGAGTTGCCAACTACTTAACAACATAAGACTTAAGACATAAGACATCACGTTATTTTTAGATATTTTTTTTTCTCTTTTTCTATATATTTTATATTATTATTTTTATTATTATTGATTTTAATACTTGTATTTTCAAACAAAAACATCAACATATGCATGTGTGTTTGCGTTAGTGTGTTACCTAATTCAAATATTTACAAAAATTCTCATTACAATAACAAAAGGGTGAACAATGATTAGTCAATCAAAGCATTCAAACGGAAGGTAATTAAAATAAAGAAATAGAGAAATGTCTTGACTTCTTTAATAATCAGTGACGTGTCAAATATTTCTATTGTTTAATAATTACAAATGCAATTTACCTAACAGGTTTTCATTTAAATAAGAGTCAAATTATAATTCCAAATTCTGATACTAAAAAAGGTTTAAGGTAAAAGCAAAATTTAAATTATATTTTGCATATTCAATGCAAAAGTAAAAGATAATTACCATTATAATTGCTTTAGTATTAATTTTTGTCTTATTTTTTTATATGAGAGTGAATTTATCTCCCTTGATTAAGTGGAACTTGTGTACAAATAGGGTTCAAAATTTAAACAAATCAAAAATCTTTTAAGTGTGCCCAAGACACATGGGGCCGCCACAGGAAGCTCCCTCCACTTTTGTCGGTCTCCGGCAATTTTTCTGGCAGTCCCCCATGACAGTCCTGCCTCTGCCAGCTGCTTCCCCGCCGTGCGCCTCCACGTCTCCCTTGCCCCTCCCTGCTTTTCTTTCCTCCTTGAAGCGTCTTTAACCCCGTAGCTTGTTCGCCGAGAACAGCGCCGTTCTCAAGGCTCGCCTCGCCCACGCCTTGATGTCCGCCAACCTTCGCACAGCGGCCCTCGGGTCTTGGTGTGAGTCGGCCTCGAACACGGACCGGATGAAACTGCTGTGGGCGCTGAGGTCGTTGGCAAGCTTGAGGCAGCGTTGTTTCTCCACGGCGTGCGGGACGTCCACGAGCAGCACGAAGGAGAACTCGGCGATGTGCTGCAGGGAACGCATCAGGCTCTGGCACGACTGGAGGAAGGGAGTCACGTGAGGGGTCAAGGACGACGAGGACAGGTCGACCTGGTTCGGGTCCACTTCACACAGCTCGAGAATCTGATGAAAATATATTTGTTTTTAAATAAAGAAAATTATTTGCATTTAAGTGTTGCGACGTAAAAACTATTGTGTAGGTACTGTTGGATTAACCATACCACAAGCTATCATATCAATAGCATAAACCTAGATGTAAACCTAACTTTAAACTTCTCAAGTGGTAAGTTTACACCAACAGTTTAAAGAACTTTAAAATTTATTCATCATTTGCTTCCGATCGTACCCAAGATGGGGCAGACGAAGCAGAGTTCATTTGTTCAGAAACCTCGGCATATGAAGGGATATTGTGGTCAGCACTATGCCCACCCGCCTTTGTTTTCCCTAACGTGAGTTAGATACCCATCAGATGTGGCTTGAACCCGGATTCAAAATTATGACGTTTGGCGTAGCAATCTAGCTCTCTACCGCTAGGCCACGCCGTCCCATTTAGTGTTTATACAAGCATTACATTTTTCTTATTTATGTTTCTTTAACTTGCACAAATATTGTTTTAAACTCCCACATCATTTCCATTTCAAATGGTGTTTGTGCTTTAATTGTGTTTTCTTTGATAATTTAATATAAATTTACTGTTTCTGTTAATTTCATAAATTTCTCAGCCTTGTTAAAATGATTACAAACGTCTAAAAGACTTAACTGACAACAGCTAGATGTTAAATATAAACTCAGTATTTTACCTCTCTTTTCAGTTGGTCGTTCTGCAGCCTTGTTAAAATTATTACAAACGTCTAAAAGGCTTAACTGACAACAGCTAGATGTTAAATATAAACTCAGTATTTTACCTCTCTTTTCAGTTGTTCGTTATGCAGAACGTAACGCTCCAGTTGATTGCACAACCTCCTGATCTCCTGTTTGTAGCTGACTTTCGATTTCTCGTTTTGCTCCTGCGCGCGCTGGATCAACTTTTTCCTTTGGCGTAGTTTGGCTTTACTCGAGCGAGTGGCTCGGTCATTCACCTCTGCCTTGCTGCCACTGCCTGAAACTTTGGCGAGGTCTGAAGTTGTTTTCTGAGCGCTGATGTGTTTAATGATCAGCTTCTGGGTTGACTCTCTGAGTATGGACGCGTCTGGTTTACAGTTGTCTAACCGATGCATGCTCCACGGTTGCATGCACTCCCAGCAGAAGTTGAACCCGCACGTGCAAGACATGTGACAGCACCCGCCATTTTTTTCTATAAATTTGTCACATGCTGGGCAAATCCGACCTTCAATCTCGATGAATAAATCGTCCTCGTTTTCAGCTTTGGTGGATTCACTTGCATTTTCTTTAATTTTTTGAATCGTCTGCTTGTACTCGGCTGCTTGTTTACAGCTAGCAGGCCAGTGGGCGTCTGACAGACAGACGAAACACACCCTGTACCCACAAGTACAGACCACATCCATCGGGGTTAGATCAACACCATCTCGACCCTCGACTTGAATAACACAGCCACATTGTGGGTTCGGGCACCATTTCGCCTGGTTTGATTTTCCTAAATTTATCTAAAAAATACGTCTCTGTAACGTCATCACTTCCGTCACGTGCAAGAACGACAACAGCGTCACGCTTGAGACCTCCGCGTCACATAAATATCCCGGACACACCATCTTGACAGCCCCGACCTTCATCCTCCCCCTCAGGTGTTTCCTCCAACAGTCGTCACAGAAAATATGAGAACAGGCATCAAGTTTGGTAAAACTGGACGCGCTTTCATGAACTGGGTTTACATTCGTGTAACAAATATCGCAAAATAAACCTTCTTCGGAGAATTCAGCAATATTGAACAGCCTGTAAGAGAAATTATTGTCTTGCTTTTTATCTAATAAAATATTAGAATGGACTTTTTCCTCTGTACTAAACGATGAGACGTTGAGATTCATGATCAAGTTCATAACTTCAACTTGGGATGTAGTCTTAACCTTTGTCATTTTGATATCAAGAATGTCTTCGTTTTTCATGTCCAGTAGAACGCTGACGATATACCCCATTACTGTCTCCACCGTCTGTTTCTGGAATGGGATGGCTTTGAGAATTCTACAAGAGTCGGTACAGAGAAGGGAATTGAACTGCACTTTAAAGATGTCGTGATCATCATCATACACGCCGTCATATGTAAACATGACGTACGATGTAAACTCCTTGCTGGACCAATACGTGCGTGAGTCTGTCAGGATATTAAGGATATCATTGGACACGTCTAGGATGAATCTCCTGGGTTGGCACTCAGCTTCGTGGTACGCTGACCCAAACTTGGCTCTCAGTTCCTCGACAGAGACCTCGCTAGCCGACATAAAGACTCGTGCATTGTGAAACTTAATCTCGTTTCCAGTCATCTCTGGTACTTTTCTCCTCAGTTTAGGAGCTCTGGGTTTGTTGCTGCGGTACCGGAACTGCTTTGGTTTTCTTTCCGAGGTGAAGATGACTCGACCTTTAGTATTAAACTTTGAACCGTCTTCAAAATTTGATTTGTTTTTGCTTTTTGTGGGTTTCTTTTTAGAGCATAGGCGGCTTGCTAGCTCAGCTTCTGTTATTAAATTCGCAAATAGATTTCCAGAAAAATTGTAGCTATCATTTAGTTCAACTTTACTATTATTGTCAAATACTTCTTTGTCCTCAAAGCGTTGTCCTGAGTTTACATACATTTGCTCTTCATATAATTCATTCTCTTCATCCAAATCGTCCAAATTTTCATCATTTTCTAGCCACATAGCAGCGACATCATCCTCTATCTCTTGCCAATCATCTCTCATCATCCAAGAACCGTAACTTTTAACTGTCCTTTTTCTCTTTTTCTGCTTGGTCACACCCACTTTTGTCCCGTCCTCGTTGACCTCCGCTTTGACATCGGTGTACTTGGGGTTAAAGGCCAAAGAGCAACTTTTCGGACAAGGGTAGAACACCTCCAAACGATACTCAGGCGTGGTGCTGCTCAGTGGCTTCGCAAGTCCAGAGTTATCTTTCCCTGAACGAGTGAACAACTCCAAAGTTTTAATTGTTGTTTCATCTCTCTTGCTTCGTTCCGCTTTAGTCTTTCTTTTTAATACCGCGGCCTTTTCGCGTTTTAATTTCCGGTTTGATTTTTCTACATCGATAGAATCGGCATTGAAACAAAAATACCGATCTTGTTTACTCGATTTTTGGTTAAACCGACTCCGATTACACGAGAATCGTACGCAGTTCGCCCTCCTTTGTAGTTTGTGACGTTCGATCACCGACACTTTCGTGTCGTCTGTTTCAAATTTCCCGCCAATAATCATACTGTTTACTTCCGCAGGCAGGCGCCATCTTTGTTTTTTATTGAGGGACAGTATCACGTTGGTGGAGCCGAGTGTTTCGGCTATTAGGTCATCCTCAGAGTTGTCTTCTACTAGCTGGTTGATCCCGCGGGTGGGGAGGTTGGTGCGGCCTAGTAGACACGACTGGCGAGCGTATCTGGGGAGTCAAGACAAAAACACATCAGTACAGGGAACAGTTGGTCACGGGTTCGAATATTAGCTAGACCTTTTGATTGTTTTATGTTATACTGTCTATCAGAGGCGTAGCGAGGGGGGTGGCGGTGGGTGCGGACAGCACCGGGTGACACCATTTAGGGGGGGGGGGGGGGTGACACCAAGGCAAAAAATAGTAAAATATACAGAGAAAAATTTGAGGGGGGGGGGTGAAAATCGAAAGTTCGAGGGGGGGGGTGCAAATCGAAAATTGAAAGTTTGTCCCCGGGAAGAGTCGCTACGTCTCTAGGGGGTGACACCATTAAGTGTCGCACCGGGTGACACCCGACCTCGCTACGCCACTGCTGTCTGTCATTATTTCTGACCCACGATAGGATCAGGAAGAAAATACTAGGGTCAATAAAGATATACATAGACAATTTTACTTGTTATCTGAGGCTAAATATAGTTCATCAAATACATTTTACTTGCTGTGTGAGATACAAAATAGGGTGACCATTTGATAAAATTCCCTTGCAAAAAATGTTCTTAATATGAAATTTTTAAAATTATTTTTAGGGTCATTAGACAGTTAAGTCGTAATAACCACAGACAAAGAGTTAACATTAGGGACATAGTCAATAAATCATGTTTTTGAGTAAGGGGCGTACTCAGCCGCTTGTATTAGTGGCGTAATCAGGTTTTGGTGTTAAGCCGAAATCACGGTTTTGTATCAGTGAGAGCTAAGGGTCTACAAAGCGCCAATATTTGACGGTTGTTGAATAATTAAGCTGGGCTTGTTTTAATAGTGTAGTAGAATAAATCAATATCTAATAGAGTCCCACGCTGTATTCAACAACTTAAGCGTCTGCAAAGCACCAACCGCTTGAGCTGTGGGAAAGGGGGGGGGAGTTCACATTTGGCATTCCTATCAATAAGTACCTAATTAATTGGTGCTTTAGTGGGAATATCTGATTTTTTTTATTAGACTTGCGTTTTAAAAAACAACATGCTATTTCCTATATGAGACCTAGATGTAGGCTTTCACATCAAACTTTATTATAGCTAGGAAGCTAAAGGCCTTATAAATGTCTTTCTTCAAGACATCTCTTCCCACCCCACCCCCTCCCCGAAGAAAGTTTACCCCCCCCCCCCCCCGAACGAAATGGAAGTTATCTAGACATGTTTAGACGCCCCCCCCCCCCCTTGAGAAAAAAGTCTGTGGGGAAAAAAAACACTGCTTATAACATAAGTAACAGTATCTTAATGAGCTAGCTGAAACAGCTTTTTAAAAAATCGAGTCAACAAAAAAGTGACGTGTACCCACACGACAAAGTACTGAGAACCGCTGCGATATTTTAATAGTAAAACTCCCTACCTTTTTGCCTGATAGGTGTTGACCCGGCGTAGGGTGTTTCCTGACCTGACACCGCCTTTTCTAACTTTAAACACCATTTTCTTTTCCTGTTCTGTTTTTCAATCAACAAGTCTAGGGATGCTCTCTGTAGGTATGTTAGGCTTGTGTAGGTACCAACTTCAGTGATCAAGTTACCCTTATATACACCCTGTGGTGCAATCGTGTTTCGTGACGCAATGAGATAAATATAGATATTCATCACGAACCGTAACCCAGTTTTTATATTTGTATTCGTTATCGATTATGTTGCAAACTAATTCCTAATTTTTTGCTAAACAGAGGTTTTTATCGATATAATTTATGAATATAAGATATAGAATCTAATTAAGATATGAACAACAAAGGCATGACTATCATAATTTATTACTTGTTTAATGAAGAAGATAAATAATGAACGCGGATTTCTGATACTGACTTTTAGAGATAGCAATTATTTTCGCAGGATCACAAAACAGTTAAAGCACCGTTTATTTCTTAGTTTTATTTTAGATTTTAATACAATCCTTAGGCAGTGCCGTTAGTATAACTGTTTCAAATTTTCTAACCTAAAAATTATATCAAGACTCTTTGAAAAATAATTTGAATTTTAAAATATGCTTTTTAAAAAAAATCTCTTTTCGATTCGTCTGTAAATATCTTTTAAACATTAAAAAATGTTAATTGTACAATAGGTTTAAAAATTTTCTACAAATAAATTTTATGTAATTTTTACTGTGGGTTATTTTTTTTTTCCTTTTATCTCAAATAGATTTAAAAGTCGACGTAAAGATCAAGAGTTTGAACTTAAATTATATTTAATTTTAGGCGAAGGTGTGATGTTATGCCTCATTTAAAAAATTGCCTCAAAAAAACTGAAGTGAAATTAACTTCCAGATGGCCGACATCAATTATCTCAACATTAGTGCCGTCAATATTTTGTTTAAAGTCAAACAACTCGTTATCCCTTGAACAACAACAAACTCTAGTCATTATTCCTTTCAAAGTCAGCGTTAAGCAACTGTTAGCATATTATGACCCCACTCTAAGTGTGGGCCTGTACATTAACCTGACATCGATGGACAAAGGGCAAGCGTGTTTTGGCACAATTCAAGATCTGGTTTCACTGTCATGTGTGTCATGACATAGGTTTAGGGTTAAGATTGTAAATGACCTTAGGCTAAACACTGGCTTTTACATGACTGGGGCATCTATATCACGGTCATAGGTTTAGGGTTAAGTCTGCTAGACCTTAAGCCTAACACTGGCTATTACATGACTGGGGCATCTATATCACGGTCATAGGTTTAGGGTTAAGTCTGCTAGACCTTAAGCCTAACACTGGCTATTACATGACTGTGGCATCTATAACACAGACAAAGGTTTAGGGTTAAGGCTGCTAGACCTTAGGCTAAACACTGGCTATTACATGACTGTGATATCTATAACACGGATAAAGGTTTAGGGTTAAGTCTGCTAGACCTTAGGCTAAACACTGGCTATTACATGACTGTGGCATCTATAACACGGTCAAAGGTTTAGGGTTAAGTCTGCTAGACCTTAGGCTAAACACTGACTATGACAACTGTGGCATCTATATCATGGACATAGGTTTAGATTTAAGTCTGCTAGACCTTAACCTAAACATTTTCTGTGTGAGTGGCATCGATGGACATTGAGTGTGTTGTGAAAGGGGAAACGGGAAAGCCCGGAGGTCCTATTATTAACATCCTGTATTTGAAGATGGGGGTAGGCGTACGTCGGTCTGTTTTAATTGAGTTTTGTTTTGTTTGTGTCGCATTTGAAACTGTCCAGGACAATTTGATTTGAGTGGTGTTGACACATTTGTTTTGAATCCCTGTTAATAGAACTGCTGGAAACTGTGTTAACTTATCTATAGATCTATAAAGTAATATTGATCTTTTTTCATGAAGGAATAAGCAATTATAATACATTTGTAATATGTTGTAAGGCTCTTCGTAGAACGATATTTATTCGAATTTTTTAAAAGCATTTAATAAAGCATTTAATATAATGTAGTAGGATAAAAATCAAATATATTTATCGTCTATTCTCACATATGAGAACAATATTTTTAAGAAGTATACAGCAAGTATACAGAAGTCTTTGGCAAGAACATTGCAGTTTGTTTTTTGTTGATAGCGGCGTTACACGAAGGAAACAAAACTGTTTTGTTTCATCTCAGACATTTAACTTTTTTTCACGTTCTTTCTCAAAAGGGTGAGTTTGGTTCAATAAATCGTTACTTCTCACACATGAGTAAACCCTTCATGCACCCCAATCAACCGGTCTGTCTATTCTTGTGATATATTCAAATAAAATTAACGTTCAGTTTTTAATAAATCTTTTGAAATTCTTTTTATGGACTAGAATGTGTCAAGCTTGTCCAAAATATTGGTTTATCGAATATACCGTGGTATAAAAAAACTTATATTTTACTCCACGTTTCGTTGATCTAAAACGTTCAAATGAATTTTGATAATAATGAACAAAATTTCTTATAAGACAGCAGTGGCCATGACAACCAAGAACGATTCAGTTTTTGAAACCATCTCTCAAAATGTCGTCATGTATATTATGTAACACGAGTAAAGTATCAATGAATGATTCTTTCTATAAAAGTTCTTTTGACGTAGCATCAATCTCTAACTCTGTTAGTAAAATCGAAATAATCCAATTAAATAATCCACTACTATTTAAATAACTATAAAGAAAAGCGTGGGTCTCTTCTCAAATATTAGTAAAGGTATCCAATAGGTACTAAAGTGACCCACACTTTTCTTTATAGTTATTTAAATAGTAGTGTTTAATTTATTTTCTACTTTTTTAGTGCATTATTACATAAAAGCTTGATATTAAAACGTTTTTTTTGTGAATTTTTAAAGTGATTCTAATGATACACATTTAAACCCTTCATATTCTCATAATGGCTTTGCAAACATTGTTGAAATGTATAGACCAGGGGTCTCCAAACTACGGCCCGCGGGCCGGATGCGGCCCGCGAGGTCCTCTCATCCGGCCCGGGGAGATCCTTTTGTCCACGGAAAAAACGTTTGTTAGTGATGGCTGAGGATTTTTGCTCAGAAAAATTACGACATGCCTGGAAGAAACTGGCCCCCGAACTGAAATTTAATTTTAATAGTTAATGCGGCCCTCGGACTGAAAAGTTTGGAGACCCCTGGATAGATTATAGACGGATGCTCAATCCTTTCATGTAAATCTTAAGAATTTGTGACAAAAACATTTTTTTTAAAAAACCTCATTGATTTTTTTTTAACTCGTAGAAGCTCATCTAAAGCACCAGATATTTCCCACTCCCCCCATCCCCTCCATCCCCTCATCCCCTCCATCCCCTCATCCCCACCAACAACACACAATCCCGCTCAGTGAGGCGATAGCACCCACTCCGGGATTTGTCGATCTATTTTAGAGCACCTAAAGGGCGATAACAAACTGGTAGGAATTTTCCCATGCAGCTTCCCTCCCCCATCAATGCGGAGAGCTTGGATTAGTTGATTCATGCAGTGTGACGTGTACGAATTTCCCACAATGACGTGCATTCATTCAGAAAAACTCTCTTAAGGGGAGATAAAAAGTTATCAAAGAAGGGGAAGTAAGAAGGTATTATTAGTAAAAGGCAATGTTCAAAGGGTTTCATCAGTGCATAGACAACGTGAGTTTGTTTCATGTAAAAGTTTTACAAAATACACAAAAATGCACGATATCCACCTTATCTTGAATCTAAACAGTGTACATTTTTGTATTTTTTTTTACATTCATTTTAAGCACTTTTTTCTTAACCGTAAACTTGTGAGAAAAAAAAAATTAAAAGTAAGCAACTACTTAAAACTTAATTAATTCTTCAACTCGCAGCACAATTTCTATGCAAGGCAAAAACTCAACTAAATTTACTAAAAGAAAAGTTAAAGCAGTCACTGTAAATAATTTGTATCTCTTTTTCTTTCGCTTCTTGTATATAACTAAAAAAACGCAAATCAGCGTTCTTTAAAAAATGTTTTATTTCCACCTTCTACCTGTATATAAAAAAACATGTACTTATTTATTCAAATTTATGTAAACAATGTCACTATAAATATGTTGTTTTTTGTTTTATGGAAAATAAAATTATTTTTTTAAAAAAGAAGACAAAAACTAAACGAAAAATAAACAAAAGAAAAACAAAGGTATATCTGCCAATTAGTATGTGATTGGACCTCAAAATCAAGCAACTCCTCCCCCAGACTATTCGGCTAACTGTAATACCCTTACCCCCCCCCCCCCCACACACACACACACACACACCGTCCGCCATGTGTAGATCATCAGTCATTTACAGCTAATTGTTTATTTTTCCCTAATATTTCCCTCTCATAAGTTCTATATTGATTGGGGCTAAATGCTATTGTCAAGAAAGTACTAAATGAGTACAGTATTAATTATTTTTTCTTTTGTTTCAACTCTACTGGAGCACTTTGTGTACAATACTTGTTTTGTTTCCCTTTTCCAACCACATTTTTGTAACCTTTCACATACGTCAGACTACACAAACACCACACATGTTGATGTATTTGTTTTATTGTGTAAATAAAAGTTTTATTAAATGTTAACGAAAATACTTGCTTTAATTTTAAGGGTTATAGCCACGTAAAATCGGCACGTGCATTCATGATGTCACTCACCTAGGGTTAGAGTAGAGGGATGAGAATAGGGTAAAACTTGTGTGAAGATGTGTCGCTTAGGAGGGGGGGGGGGTGAGAAAAGTAGTGTAGAATGTATATGCCGTGGACACGAAAACAGATGGACTTTACTTCCTCTGTCCCATCAACCCCCAAAGTCCGAAAGGGTAACTTTTACTTTCATTCTTTGAAGACCCCAACATTTAAGTTATACGACTTTATTTTCCAAATACAAAAAAAAAAAAAAAAAAACTCCCATGCGATATAGAAAGTGACAGCGAGTATGATAAAGAGATGTTAAAAATTATAAATAGTACAGAACACCACGACAGCCAATTGCAAAGTTGCAAAGCCAGGATCGTCTCAAGGGGGGGGGAGGTTCCAATTTTTATCCGGGGACAAACTTTCGATTTGCACCCCCCCCCTCAAACTT